AGAGAGTCCAGAGGAGGCCCTGGAGCTGCTGCCAGGGCTGGAGCCCCTCTGCTCTGGAGCCAGGCTGGGAGAGCTGGGGGGGTTCCCCTGGAGAAGAGAAGGCTCCAGGGAGAGCTGGGAGCCCCTTCCAGGGCCTAAAGGGGCTCCAGGAGAGCTGGAGAGGGACTGGGGACAAGGCCTGGAGGGACAGGACACAGGGAATGGCTTCCCAGTGCCAGAGGGCAGGGACAGATGGGAGATTGGGAAGGAATTCTTAATCCCTGGGAGGATGGGAAGGAATTATTCCCTGTGAGGGTGAGGAGGCCCTGGTTCTGGTTCTGCTCCCTCTCCCTCACCTTTCAGGGTACATTTCCCATGGGAAGGTACAGTCTCCTTCACCTCACTCTCATGTTCCTCTTTGGTTTATTCCTCTCACAATCCCACCCAGAATAAGGAGTGCTGAGGGCCCTGGGGGTGGTTTGGGAGCTGCAACGGAACGGGACGCTCGAGCTTTCCCTGAATTCCACTTCATGCTTTTTTTCCCTTTGCTTTTTTCCCCCCTCCTGGCAGTCTTCCACCCCGTGGAGTGCTCGTACTGCCACTGTGAGAGCATGATGGGGTTCCGGTACCGGTGCCAGCAGTGCCACAACTACCAGCTCTGCCAGAGCTGCTTCTGGCGAGGCCACGCCAGCGGCCCCCACAGCAACCAGCACCAGATGAAGGAGCACTCCTCCTGGGTAACTCGGGCTGCAGCAGCCACCCCCTGCTCATTCCTGCCTGAACTCACAGGCCTTAGCCCACAAACCCACCCCGGGGCTTTCCAGGGTCCCCAGATGGCCAAAGTGTGTGAATAGGAACAGTGCTGGGTTTGTTGTTTGTTCTTCCCTGGGTTAAACCTGGCTGCTGGCCCAGGGAGAGGGGGGGAATGGAGTCCCATCCAGCTGGGAATGGGCTCCAGTGGGGTTACACAGGGGTCAGAGCTGGGACCAGCCCTGTTTAACATCTTTATTGATGATCTGGACGAGGGGATTGAGGGCACCTCAGTCAGGTCGTGGATGACCCCAAGGGGGGTGGGATGTGGGTCTGCTGGAGGGCAGGAAGGGCCTGCAGAGGGATCTGGCCAGGCTGGATCCATGGGCTGAGGTCAGTGGTGTGAGGGACAACCAGGCCAAGTGCCAGGTCCTGCCCCTGGGTCACCACAACCCCATGGAATGCTCCAGGCTGGGGCAGAGGGCCCTGGCACAGCTGCCCAGGGGGGTTTGGAGTGCCCAGCCCTGGAGGTGTCCCAGGAAGGCCTGGCCGTGGCACTCAGTGCTCTGGGCTGGGGACAAGGTGGGGATGGGGCACAGGGGGATCCCTGGGCTGGGAGGGCTTTTCCAACCCAAACAATCCCGTGGTTCTGTTCCCCACAACATGGATTTGTTGGTGGCTGTCCCTGGGCTCAGGTGCTGTTGAAGGTCCTGCTCAGCCCCTCAACGTGGGTGTTTCTCTTCACATCAGTCCCACTTCTCTTACATTGTCCTCTCTTGTAGCTTAAAAATCCCCAAACACTGCCCTTGCTGTCCTGCCCAGAAAGGTAACCAGTTCCCATGGATGCTGTGCTTACACAGGTATTTTATCCAGTGGCACCTTTAAAGACAGTATTTCTTTAAGAGAAAAACACATTATTGCCATTCTCCTGCCAGGTGTAAATATGTGCCTGGAAAACTCTTAATTGAAAAGCCTTAAAGAAATCATCTGAGCAATAACATGCAGCTTGATAATCACAGCTCAAGAAATAAGGGACAGTTTTATGTAGAAAAACCTATTCTATGGCAAAAGATTAAAGCCAAACTTTTACTTAAATTCAAAGAGAAGTTCAGATGGTGATTGGATTATAATTAGTAATTATCTTCACAAGAAAGTGCCATTATAGCATTGCTGTTAAATTTAGAAAATTGGGGCTGGATACCAGTCAGGAGTCGGGAGGGAAAGGAAAATTTAGCCTTAAATATTGTCCTTTTTATAACTCTGTGGGTATTAAACTTGTGGAATGTTTAATCTGAGCTAAGAGTAGGTTATTATCCCCTTAAAGTGTACATAAATCCAGTCTGGGATTTTTAGTATGAAGATGTATCTAAGCCATAGAATTCCAGGCTGGTTTGGGTGGGGAGGGACCTTCAGGCTCACCCACCCCCTGCCACCATCCCAGGTTGCTCCAAGCCCCCTCCAGCCTGGCCTTGGACACTGCCAGGGATTTCAGTCAGTGGTAAGGCAACCAGAAGGAGGCTAAAATACTCCTGGCTCTAGCTCTAAAAACTGATTTCTGAGCCTTTTGAACCATTTGCTGCTTATTTCAAGCAAAAAAGTGTTTTAAATGGGCTGAACAGTTCAGGGATGTATGAAATTGTTTATGGGAGACTGGGCTGTCTCCCATAAACTGAGCCTGGAAGAGGGACCTTTGAGAGAGAGATCTTTTCCATATCCATTTCTTTGAATTCTTTAACTTCTGCCAGTCTTATGTGCTAACTTCCCAAAAATTGAAAATGAATCTTGATTTTAAGAAAGCATGTCCTGGTTTTGGATGTGGACTGTGCTGCTGGTTCAGTGACTCCCCTGTGTGTTTGCTCCACAAGAATTCCCTGGGGGAAAGCCCAAGTGCTCCAGCTGAGCAGGTGCTCTGGGACAGGCAAACCAGAGATTGGCTTTTCCCAGGTTTTCAGTGCAGCCAGAACTGGTTCAGTCTTGCCTGGTGTATTTTGGAGCCATATGACCTAGAATAAGTATTAATAATAAGTACCTCATACTTATTATTAATGTTATTATTAACACACTTATTAGTAATTATGCTTATTGTGAATGTTATTATTAATACACTTATTATTATAGGTTCTTTCTTCTGAAGTTCTGAACTGCCTTTGGTAGTTTTTTCATGCTGTAAATCACATAATATAGAGATTTTTAGTACATATAAATATATACATTACTCCAGTGAGTATATTAAAATCTATTACTATAGTGATTTTATATTTGTAAGTTCAGGTAGAAACCTATTTTTGAAAGAGGTTTTGCTGCATGAAAACGTTGCTTGTTGGGGGGCCTGTTTGGGGGGATAAAAACCCTTCAAACACTTTCCAAATGTTTCCTTTTGGGCCATTTCAATGTTGGTTTTACTGAATGGCCCTGGGCGGGGTTCAGTGAGTTCTGTGCACGCAGCAGAACCCAAAATCCAGCTGTTCATCCCGAAAGCCTGGGGATTAGCCAGAGCTCATCCTGGCTGGGGGGGGTTGGGGTCAGTTTGCTGAGCTTAAACAATCTGCCAGCAGTAAATTTCGGGTCAGCTGAAATTGTTATTAACGTTACAGTTAAATTTATTGTTTGATGTTTAATATTATAATCTGGAAACTCAGATGTGGTTGGGGGGAGTTCCTCGGCTGTAGGTGGGTCAGGACACTCCTCCTGCTGTAAATAAGGGAATGTTTGTGGCTTAAAAACCACCTTAACCGGGGCCTTTGGGTCAGAGATAAACAAACCAAAGGCTTGTTCAGGTGTTCCTGGGGCGAGGACACCTCTGGATACCTCTGGGAATGGTTACAGGGGATGGGATGGGATCTGAACCAGGGACAGCCCCTTCCCCTGCCCAGCCATGCTCCGGGAGCTGCTGCTGACATTGGCACAGGGAATTGTGTCTTTCATGTTCCCATTTCCCATTCAGGTGGCCTTGAAGCAAAATTAAACCTTTCTGAACATGTTTGTGTCCGGCCCCAGCCGTGGGACACACAGATCCCAGGATCCCACACAGATCCCAGTATCCCATAGATATCTCAGTATCCCACACGGATCCCAGTATCCCACACATGGATCCCACTATCCCACGTGGATCCCAGTATCCCACAGCTATCCCAGTATCCCACACGTGGATCCCAGTGTCCCACACAGATCCCACTATCCCATGGGTATCCCAGTATCCCACAGGGATCCCAGTATCCCACGGGGATCCCAGTATCCCATGGGTATCCCAGTATCCCAGAGGTATCCCAGTATCCCAC